GGTGTATTGCACTGCCATTTAAACCTTTTCATTCAATAAAAATGATAAACAGCACTCTTTCATAAAATATACTCAAATAAATTTAAACCTAACGTGGTCGCTTTCACCGCTTGACTTGACATCTGTTGTGCGGAGGAAGGAAAATGAGTTTGTGGGTTTTCGAATTTTATTTGTTTAAAAAACTGAACAGGGAGGTTTAAATCAACCGAAGAAGCGAATACAAACTACAATCTGCCATAGACTGTCAAAAAAACGACAAAAAAGCCGCACCTTTTGATGAGAAAAACTGCTTCGAAGTTCAGAAGTTCACGACGACGTGAAACTGGTCCATCTCAAGTCGTCGACGATAAGACGAAGACGGAATTCTTGGTTCGCTCTTGCGCAGTGACGTTCTCGCTACTTCCGGTCGTCGTCCTCCGTTCGTCGTCGTGGTTGCTTAAGCTCCCTAATATCTTAACTAGTTCTGAATAAAACAAACTTAACTCGCCCAAGAGATGTTTTCTTTACATTGAGTGAGTTTCTTGGGCGGTTTCGGTTCAGCTGCTTTTCCTTCTTTAAAATCCTTTCCAAACGTAGGACACCATATGAAGCCAAGCCAACGTTTTTGCGGTGATATCTGCCATTTTGAAAATGGGTCAAAGGACAGTAAAGGACTCTGGATATTGTCTTGTATTTCTGTGGGATGCCTGTAGTCAATTCTTGATATTCTTTAATTTTCCGTATCTCGTAGCAATGAATGAATTTTTCATTAATCGGATCCTTGTTTGGGCAAGGTTGTTCCTTCATAGAAAAACATCAAATCCTATATAAATATCAATTTAGATTCAGGAAAAGATACTCCACTGAACAGGCTATTCTTGAAATTACAGACAATTTAAAGCTAGCAAACAAATCACATGTGGTCTTTTTCTTGATTTGTCAAAGGCCTTTGACACAGTAAATCACAGCATTCTACTGTCTAAGCTCTCTTTATATGGGGTTCGAGGAGTCTCGCATAAATGGTTTGAGAGTTATTTTCAAAATCGTAACCAATATGTCAAACTTGATTCCACTAGATCTGCCAATGAAAATATAACATGTGGCATACCTCAAGGCTCAACTCTAGGTCCACTCTTATTTCTACACTATGTTAATGATTTACCAAATTGCACTGATAAACTCTCACTGCGGATCTTTGCTGATGATACTCACTTGTCAGTTTTTACTACAGACAACCCACATCATCTAGAATCTGTTATGAATCATGAACTTAAACAAATTTATAAATACCGTGCACTAAATAAGTTGTCTATTAATTTTTCCAAAACTAATTACATGTTAATTTCATCTTCTAGATACCACCCCACGATAAATATTGAAAACATTGAATCAAAGAATTATATAAAATACCTGGGAGTCTACATCGATAAGCACCTAAATTGGCAACTGCAAATACAACCTATAAACAATAAAATAGCAAGAAACATTGCAATTTGTACTATATGGAGACATTATGTCGAATTTAATATGTTAAAGTAATTATACTATGCTTTGATATATCCCTATTTAAGCTATGGTATAACTGCCTGGGGCTGTGCCACCAATGCTAACTTAAAATGCCTCTGTATTAAGCAGAAGAAATGTCTTCGTAGCATCTTCTTTGCAAATGCTAGAGAGAATGCCAATCCCTATTGTAAACTATTACGAATTCTAAAGTTGGAAGCTATTTATAAATTCAGAATATGCTGTCTTACGTATAAGATTAATTTTAAAAGTGATATTCCAGATATCTTTCTTGATATCCTGACCCCAGCATCTGAAAAACATAGTTATAATACAAGATTTGCTACTAATAATAACTTTTTTAGACCAAGAGTATCCAGCAACATGGAAAATCATCTTTTATATTCTCTGCTTCAAAGATATGGGAAACTGTACCCACTTATCTTAAGTATATGCCTTACAATAATTTCAAAAGAAAATGGAAACATCAACTTTTACTCAACCAAACCTGATCATTTTACTTTGCGGCTGATCTACTCTAAGTTATTTACTTTACTGCTTATATACTTTTATTATAGGCTGCTATCTATTTATCTATTTATATGACCATTACGGTGTCCAACTAGAAAGCCTTTGCTACTTTGGACACCGTGCACCTCTCAAACTTATCTTTAGAGCCAATTATTACTATTATTCTTCCCTCTTTCTCTTACTTTTCAATGTATATTAACTTCTACTAATAGTGTGAAATAAAGTTCAAAAGGTGAAAATACACGATTTTGAGGAGAGGTCATCGCTATTTTATCACAAACTGATTTAGGAAATGTTGATACGAGGAAGGCGTACGTTTTTATGTTGTTAACCATAAAATGTCACGAAATCTACCGATTCACCTCACCTTGCGTAGGGTTTATTGCAAAATCGATATCGCTCAATGGTCTCAACATACTCCATAATTAACTACGAATGCGAACAGGCCCTAAGTGTGTACGGCCTGTTTTCGTACTTCATAACGTGTTTGATAAACAAATTAAGGCCGCTGAAAGATGCCCGACATTCCCCGAAAATCCAGGGGTTTTTGATTAGCTGCTACTTTTCGCTACATTCAACTACAGTCCCAGAAATTTCGCGCAGTGATTTCTTCGACTGATCTTACTTACTAATCTTGGTAGTTAACTGCAAGTGCACAATTCCTTCCAATGCTACGCTCAGTTGCCAACACGTTCCACGGAATCTCCTTCAGGCGTCTTGTTCCTTCTAATTTCCTTATGTGGCAAGTGCGGCAGTGGTTTAGTCACTTTTCCCCCCCTCCTTTTCCGACGGAAGTCTCCCAAGGAGAGACCGATTACTCTTCATGTATTTTTTAGCTCAATAACCCAACATTTTATTAGCTCCCTTCATTCGGGGGAACTAAAGTTCTGTATGTGTACTCTCAATCTAACACAAACAATTATAAAAACAAAATCGTTTTTAATTGTAAGCAGTTACAAATCAATATATTCTTTCTTCTCCATTTAAATAGTCCAGCTACTAACGCTAAAAAACATCATCGATCTTGTTGAGGAGAAACAGTATCACTTGTCAGGCTTGGAAAATGTTCACAACAAATGATGAAGAAATCAAGTATCAAGGTGTGTCCACACTAATAAATGTATTGAATACTACTGCATGGTATTATCGTCACAATAAAAAATACCACAACACCACCAAGTCAAAGAACAAGAAAGGAAAAGTTAAATGAAACACTGTTACTATTTTTTTTGGCATTACAGTGACCCAGAGAAATAAGAGACCTAAAAGAACGCATGTAAAGTTTAAATTTAAATAAGAAAAAAATGTGTCTAGAATGTAAGCAATAGTCCAAAGATTAGTTCTCGAAATTAATTAGGTTACATTATAAACTCACTCCCACAAGTCACCTGAATTTTAAGCTGCTCTCATCTAACAAGTAATGCTTTTAATATTTACACGATGTGAAAATCACTTTTCAAATGAAGATTTAGGAGCTACCCCTTTCCCGATAAAGGTAAAACAGTTTTCTGAATATGAAGTGACAAAACAAAACAAAACAAAAAAACAAACAAAAAAAGAAAAAAAGGAAAAAAGCAATCAGTCTGGCTATACATGTAGCAAACAGTCCAGGTTAAAAGAACTGATGGCAACTCAATTTATGCAGAATTTCTACAAAATGCCAACAAAATGAATTTTTCATAACTCCACAGAATACATGGTATTCTCAAAATCTTCACAAATGACAATTACCTAACAGTTGCTGTGTAAACCATTACACAATATGATACCATCAATTTAGATACACCTAAATTCAAAATTGTCTGTTATCATTACAAAAAAAGCATCCTATAAACAGTTACAAGAGTTATGTTCGGGCTTCCTGGAATAAGTACAAATTATTTGTTGCTGCTACTGCTATAATGTTCTCTTGTGGGTGCCAAGCAGTGTGAAGAATCTTATGACTAAAGTCCAAGCATTCTACTGTGATATCATCTTTCTTTCTCTTTCCCGTTACTGCTACACGACGAGGCTTCAAAATCTGCCGTGGCTTACTAAACTCCCGTGATGCCTCTAAACAAACATCCTGTTTATCATTTCTGTCAAAGATGTGAAAGAAGTTGTTGTAAGAACCAGTCATTATGGACCTGAAAGTGGAAAAAAAGAAAGAAATGAATATCTAAATGACTTAATAAACAGGTTAGCAGCTTACTGATCAGTACAATGACTATAAATAACATCAATCCAAAAGTTCTACTTCCTTAGTCATTCTGCCACCAGTTGCACCATTACAAGAAAACATTGAGGAAACCATTAATTCAAAGTTTGGCATCTTAGTTGTTGTATGTTGTAACTGAAAACACTCAGTCTCCCTTTGCATGTTATTTAGGCAAAGTTAACTTGGAAATAATTTACATGTGCCTGTCAACATTAACGTTATTAAGCCTTTTATGATGAATCTGGTTTCAACAGAACTTCTAGAGATCAATGTCATTGTTTACAAGGCCCAAATAAAAGGTAACACTTGGGATGTATAAAGAAAAAAAAAAAACAGGAAAAGCCACAACTCAAATACATTATGCAAGGACACAAGAGTCACTTCTCTTTTCTTTGTTTTGACTATCTGACACTTTTTGCATTTCCATTGCCGACATTGTTTAAGTATTACAACGTAGTTCTAATTCAACTTTTTTCATGCACTGGATCAATGTAGGCAATCCTAAGCGGGCAAGATGGGCCCATCTTGCTTGCTTGGGTAGCCAATCACAACACAGGATTTGCTTCATATTAGCCATGGGAACTGCCAGCTGTATAATAAACGAATAATCTTAAACACCTAATTGATTCATACGTACGGTAAGATGACAACTGGGTTTCCATTTACCATCATTTTTATCTTATGCATAAATGACCTTTGTTAAGCAAGGAGTTCCTTCACAGACAAGAAAAATATTGACATCCATTGCTCTTCAAGAAATCTCACAGCTAATATAACTAATATATGACTAAACATTTTGGAGAAAAAGGAAACTTTACAGGAGAAGTGCATCACCTTTAACTTACCCATCATTTCCATTCCAAACACATTCAAACTTGTCAAAGATGCAATCATTTTCATATAGTGAGCATAACTTGCTTCTAAGGTAATCATGAACATTGTAGACCTCCACTGGTTTGCTTTCCATGTTAAGATCCCATACTTTAACAGTTAAGTAGTCACGCGTCAACATGTACCGGCCACTGTGGCTGAATCTCACATCTGATATTGATGAAATGATCTCTGAGAAAAAAGATCTTGCCCCAGGATCCTCTGGTTCCTCAAACACTACAATTGGAACAATTGGTTATTCATAGCAGTGTTTGCATTATTTGGGAGCTACAGAAGAGGTCTTCACTAATCTTCTTACCATAACCACCAAAGGTGCCATATTTTTACATTGCAATTGACAGAGGTGAGTGAGCTTACAAAGCAACCAATCAAGAAAACACTAAAAGGCAGTCTATGACTACATGTGCCTACTGTTGTATAGTTGATTATTGCAGTAAAAACACAGTGTGGTGTAAAATGCGAAGGGGTCAATGAACAGCTCATGTCAATGCTAAACTTGTTACAAAAGGAGGACTTGGTCAGAGCAGAGTTTATGCGCTGGTCAATTGACAGGCCGGGGACAAAGCAGGAAATTAGTAGAATAGGCACATGTATCAAATGTACATCAAATTAGTTTCAATACAAAATTTTGCCACTTTGCACACTGTGTGTACCTAGTGCCGTGGATGTTCCTACTCTTCTTGAGTCTGAAGGTACAAGGTTCAAGCTGCAGCCAAGCAAACCTATTTTTTTTGCCTTTTTCTTTCTTTTTCCCTTCCTTTCATTTTATCACTTCAATTTAAAATTCTTCTTCAAATGACATGTTAGATATGTTCAGAGTAAATGCACATGTAGCTCTTATATTCAAATTGATAACAAGGTCAAAATGCAGAGCTGATGCCCTGAAAAAAAAATTTAACTAGACCCAAAAAAACCAAAAACAAGTCTGAAGAAACCCAATCAGATTCATTTAGTGATGCCCAGTGTTAGAACTTAACCAGGAAGAGTCACAAGAAAAGTTAGGAGTGTCTTGTGATAGTCTTCAATTTTCAAAACCACGAGGAACTTGGGGGGAGGTTTACAGACTTACACAACACTATAACAAAGTGCCTACAGCCTTCCTAGGGGGAGGGCACAGTAGGCACAAAAACATGAAGCTGCAACTGTATGTTCAAAGAAAAGGCACAAAAACTTACTTTTAGTATGCCTGTCACACAATGCAGATTGTCTCATGTCACATAACCTGACAGTTCCTTTACTGCTACTGTATGCAAATGTACTGCACTCTATTGGATGAAACTCTGCTGCTGTAATTACTTCAGTGAGTTCCTCCATGTTTGCTGGTTTGATATCAACAATATCTAATTAACTGTTAAAAAAGTTTGGGTTTCATTTCTTTCACTTCCTCTGTTGAAATGGACACACTTTCTAAAAAACAAGACACTTTTGTCATACGTCACCAGGAAATAAACTGTTCCTCTGGTTGCAGACATAAATAAAGGCTGTCAATAAGGACCACATCTCATAACACCTGTTATGGTTGAGCTATCACAGTGTTATGGGTGAAGATTGTGATACTGTTGCGTTACCATTTGGTACATATTACCCTGCTTCACTTAATGACAGCCCTACAAATAAAATAATTCCTGTACTGTACAACACTTTCTCTTCTAATTAGTACAAACAGAGTGCCTTGCATCCAGTAATTAGCTATTTTTATTTCACTGCACTGATATTACTGTGGTACTCATACACATAACTGACAGATATTGGCCTCAGGAAATGACAGACAATTAATCATGGTAAAGCTCAATATGTTCCAGTTCAGTTCAAAGAGTATAATGAATCAGAAAAAGGGTAGAAAAAGAAGATAGCCCTGTCTTTTAAGTTTTGTCCATGAAGCTAAACAAGTATCATGTCTAGTATAATTCTTGCTCTGTAAAAAGAAAATAGTTCTTGTGCTGTACTTTGTACTAAAGAAAACACAATCGCATGAAATGCAAAATTGAAGTGGAGCATAAATGAAAGAGAATAAGCAATTCAGAAGTAATCAAATTCATAACTAAAAAATGTTACTTTACATGGAAAAGGATACTATAACTCTGATCATTGATCCCAAGATGCCACAAGTTGATCCTCAGATCATCTGCGGATAGGTATGTCTCATCATCACTGTTTAGTGATATCGAATTGATGTGGTATGTGTGAGCATTTGCATATACTCTTCTAGGACTTGCTTCCACCACTAGCTCAGAGGGCTTAAAAATAGGTACCCTCAGTGATGTTACGTCCTCAGGATTTCTTGGTACCCCCTGGTCATCTCGTAGGTTGAAGTTACTCGCAGCAAAGCACCGTTCAGAAATTTTCCATAATTTAACAGTTTTATCTGCAAACAGAAAAATAACTATTTGTTTCAATCCATGATTAAAGTCTACATTGATGTGCAAGCATAAGCATTTTCCAAGCCAAGCACTTTGATTAACATTGAGACTTCACTGACATAGGTGGCTGGTTTGAAAAGTGCAACCACATGGCTACAAAAAATGGGTTTTACCGTAACCAGTTCATGTAAGCATATGTTACAAATATCCCATCAAACAAATTTAACGCTGAAAAAAATTATCCTTCCAAGTAAACTAGTATCAGTAACACTGTAACTTTAATCATTGTAACAAGTGATTTGGGAAAGAACCTTCTTTTTGAGCTATTTCTGAACGAAAGAAAGCGATAAGGAATCAGAAGTACCGCTGTTATGTCCCACCAAGTAACGCATGTAGCTTTGGAACTTAATATTCTACAAAAATTCTGCAAATATAAGTTTGATTAGCGTTTTGAGTTAAAGCAGTTGCAAGTCCCTCTACTGTAATTCACGTTATCGCAATTTCAAAGCTCTAGAGTCTAAACGTTAACATCAACTCCAGTTTCAATCCCGGGTGCAAAAAGTGAAATTGAGTGCAACAATTTTACGAGCTTCTGATCGAGCGAATTTCACACAAGAACACTGCCCTGTCACACCATTGTTTGATTAGTCTAGAGACGTATAAACATGATGTGCCCCACGTAGTGAGCTATTACCCACACAAATGTACAATATCAGAACCGAAACAACCTGCTGACACACCTATCGAAGGGAAGCAGGACAAATCTATCGAACTGACATTTATTTGGGTTTCAAGTGTCGTGTTCCAAAATTAACTGGTGGTGTTATGTGGTAAAACGAGTAAATAAATAATAAACCTATACCATTAGTTGAGAGCAAAAAGTGCGACGCGTTTCGCCGCTTTAACCACTTGATCTTATTTATCTTCTCTTCGATCTCCAAACTCTTTAGATAATCGAACTCTGGTTCGTGACTTTGGAAAGTACTGTACACGTTGTATTCACCATAATGCTGCGATCCCTTCGGCTGGAATAAAAATTAAAAAGAGAACAGATTTACTCATGAAAAGCGATTACGAAAAACGCAGTTAACACCGACAGGAATTTATGAACAACCGGTCATTTACTTCCAAAAATTCTCACCGCTTCTTCTTTCTGAAAGATAACAATCCTGCCTCCCTTATCACCAGTTGCAAGAAGCTCGCCATCGTGGTTAAATTCAACGGTTGAAACGATATCAGCTGAAAATCAGAAACATTTACATGAGTGTAAATGCTTTTAAAGTACAAGTGAACAAATTTGTACCTTGCGTAGATAACTAGTTGGTCTAAGCTTTAACAGACCAAACTTAGCGCCTAACCGAGTAACGGTTCTAAGCTAGAGCCTTTTTTACCTTCTGTGAGATCCTCGTCTAATGTCCCCTTTACCTGCGAAAAGCACCACTGTACTTCTCCTCCATCTTCTGCAGACACAAAATATTATGATGATCATCTCTTACAATGACTAGTTCTGTAACACTGATACGATATTTGTATTTAACATCGGCAAATACTTACTTGCCATCGCATTAACGGCAATATACACCTATAAAGCGACACATAGATGTCCTAAAACTGAATTTCACCCTAGAGAAAGACCAAATACAGATGAAAGGCCAGGATGGCCTGAGATTGTAACCTCACATAGATGTCAGCGAAGGAAATCCAACATGGATGCCGCTCAACACGAAGGTGTGACGTCAAAATGAAGAGAAAACGAAATTACCAGATTTGGGTATGCTTTCCAAATATGGAAAATTAAATCTTAGCGCCAAGCTTTAAATTCTCTACTCCAGGAGAGGTTTCACGATAGGAAAATTTCATCTTCGCTTTTTTTAAACCAAATGAAAATCGAGGCGTTAAAGAAAGTGGGACATTTAACAGTCACAAACCGATAAAACGGAGATAGGTTATGGCGTTGTTCCTCCAATGAGCTAACCATAACAAAGTTATCAACACACCTTTGTCACCTTTACGTTTTTCCTCCTTGTCCTTTTGTTTGGACCCATTTCGTTTATCGCCGTGACTTAACTTTGGGCTATGATGATGGCCTATATCTACAGGATAATAAAATTGTAAATGGTACAAATCAATTGGAAAGGGAGTGATCATAGGCTCGTTATTGTTTCAATTTGACGCTACTTGACTATTTCAGCACGTACAGATATTCTGAAATTATAATAAAGCACGGCAAAATTTTAATTTATAGCTTCACTAGTAAGTTGTTTGAGACCTTTGAATACGTTCTGTAATTAAATTTAGCAGCTAACAACTTGAGGGATTGTTCCGGATGTTTACTCTGAAAAAACTGATATTACTTTACCGCAGATTTTTCACGCAAATTCACTCGAAAAAATTAATTCAAACACTGAACCAGATTAAAATAACACTATACCTCGCGATAGTAAAAGTATTCTGGACCTCGAAAGAGTGGGGAGAATTTTCTCTGAATGAAAAGTTCAATTCGGCTCGTTAAAAGCTGCTAAATGGTGAAATTAAACTCGAGAAATTGGTATAATTGTAATTAATACTTATTTCAGCGATCTTAAATATCCATAACAGGCCATTACGGAGGATTTTGTCATAATTAAGAGTTCTTGTTTTATGGCGTTGGTTCACCAGAGGCGTTGAAAAAACAATGCGAAACGTGAGCAGATGTGAACGGCGACGGCCTTCGGCAGTTTCCATGAAGACACATCTGAGAGTAACGGTTTACACGAGTTTCGTGACTTCCACTTGGTTTGTACACATTTGTTTCGATATCGGAAAAAAATTGAGAAGGGAAAGAGTTTGATTGAGTTCAGAGTTTCAAATGATGTTAAAATTATAGATTTTACGTAAACTTTTATCACCTACTATAGAATATAAATCATAGACCACGGTAGCGTTCCTTGTAGACATTAGACCTGACCGAGTGCTATTCTTTGCGGCATCGAATGACACGAAACACAATGCAATGTCATTGCGATCTCCCTAGACCGCGTTAATACCGTGACAAATCTGGCGCAGATCTACATGCAGATTAGAACTGAACTGATCGACTCCTGCCCCTTCCAGTATTGATGGATGTTTGGTCGAATTAGAGATCATGTTTTCTAAAATATTCCTTCCATCTAGTTTTCAACGACTACTATACTGTTTACACAATCACTTCGAATTTCGAAGCCGCAAACAAGACGAGAATGTTCTAGTTTTTTTTTTTTTTTTTTTTTTTTTTTTTAATTTTTTATGATTTTATCGATGCGCTCACTTTAGCAGTTTATGTGATTTGCTATGAATTCCTAGGCCGAAAGTCTTTGGTTCTTATAGTTCATTAGTATAACATACAAAAGCAGGTTTGTGAACGCGTAGTCGCCACTTGGGGAATGAGCGTGAAATGGACCGCATCGTGCTGGCCGTAGGCCTTACAATCACGATCCCATGTCTTCGTTCTAGGTTGGTATCGCTAAAACAATTTCGAATTCAGTAAAAAATAAGTCAATTGTTTGTTTCCTTCTTTGTTATTTGAGTCTTCGAAATTGAACTTTGAGGCCATTGTACACAAGCTTAGTTGTTTGTATTTCTCATGAAAGGAACATTTCGATTGTGGGAAAAGTCGAAGCTTGCTGAACGAAAACGAGTGTTTCTATAATCCTTTGTTTGACAAGGCTTTGATAATTCCACCATATGTGACGATTATGAAACCTGATTAAAATTCTTCATTACGGTGCGACTCACAGCACGTTGACATTAAAAGCGAATCGTGCCGTACAGTTTTGAGTCGTCTTTTGTCTCGAAACTGTGAGGATATCTACTGCTTCACGTTAATTGGTTCCCCTCGTTTATGAATTTCAAACGGATTCGACCAAGAATCTATTAACTGAAACAAACTGGAGCTCTTGACCTGTTAAAAAGTAAACAACGCTGGCTCGCACAGAACTCAAGTAATTAATTCACTTTAGTGCTCAAAAGTGATTTCAATGAAAAAAATAGGAGGCTTTACTTACGGTGAAGCTTATCCTTCAAGACTTGCATGGCCCTTCAGGTCATCGGATCGCCTAAAAAAAGCGAATCAAAGGGTGTAGATACATTTGAATGTCGTAACTTGAATTCTGCTCAACACCGCCAATAATTTCGTGGTTCTTCGGGTATAAATTATTCCAAATGAGCTGGCGAATGGCTTGGAATGAGAAAGGCCTGGTGGCAAGGTTGCGCTTTGACAAGAAGAAGTTAAAATGGCGACAGCTCAGGTTGGGGTGTAGTATGAATTATCGTTTACTTTACGTGCTTCGGACGCCGGGTTTTACACAGAACAACGTACCCCACTGTGGGAGAAACATCTTTTTTTACTTTTACGATATTTTTTTTAGGTATCTACTGATGATCCATCAAAACGAAATGTTAAAGTTTTCATCCAGAGGGACTACTCGCGCGGAACTGCTTGTCGCTTTCAAAACAAGTTTCCACCTGAATTAGAAGGAAAGGTAAGTCTGAGGATGTGCTTTTGACTCTGTATTATTAGTATCGTTTTGATTTTTCACCCAAACTAACATCTGCACTGGCTGGTCGAGACAAAGTCTGTATAATTTCATGTTTGTTGTTTAATTATATAACGGTGGGTCCGGTCAACTGGTCGATCAAGTTTGTTGCTACTATTTTATTAGATGTCACAGGTGTACATCATGTTGGCGTTATTTTCCCGATTTTTTTTTTTTTTTTTGTGTGTGTGAAATATTCGTTTGAAATACTAGGAAACTAGTTTTTCGCAAATTTAGGAAAGCGAGCGATCAATGATTTCTAAGCTTGCATGTTAACAAACTCTAAAAAAAACCTGAGTTGACGGGAAGGGTTGTGATGGTTGACCATGAGCAAAAAGTGGGCGAGGAGAAAGGCTGATTTGGCTCAAAATCTGCAAGCTGTTAGGAGAGTCTGAGGAGAAGAAACCCTCCTGGAAATGTTTTTGAGTTCAGAAATACAGTTTACAATGATTATTTTCAAGGGAATTACCGTTATGGAAAATGTTTTGAAAAATGTTCAAGTTTTAATACAACATACCTTTTGATTGGTTGAAATTATATAATTTGACAGAGTTCCAAAGCACAGTAAGTATAATTTACTAGGTTATAGTAGACTAAGTTTCTGACTTTTCTGATTTTTTTGGGCAATGTTACCCAAATTAAATGTCCCTTAAAGCTTCCTCATTTGTTGAGTATCAATTATTGATAGGTTTGATCCTTTTACTCCGAAGATCACACCCGTAATACTCCCATCCATTCTCAGTAGATTTTCTTTTAAATTAGACAAGAAGGGTTTTAAACTTCAGCATTTTGGGAAACATTTGACATATTCCTGTTTATCTTAACCTGATCACTCTCAAGATGTCATTAGGAACTGTCCTTACTACATACATACATTCATAAACTTGATTTTGTCTCCAATTTATAGAGTAGCACTCAAATGCTGATATCTTTGAGTTAATCACATTTGATAACTAATACAATTATAACAGCAAGTTAATTATAATCTCAATTCAAATACCTTACTACCTGAACAACTAATTTGCTGAATAACTTAGCATATACTACATTTCAAGATTAAAATTTCACTGGTGCAATTCTTATGATGTTAGTGTAAAGAATTTGGTCTTGGATCAAGTAATAATCCCCTTGTTGATATTTACCTTTATTCTCACCACTTGTTTACTTGACAGTTGATACTTAATAGTGTATTGTAAGAAGAAATTTCATTTTGGTCGCTGATGGTGCTACCTATTTGTATGTATTAACCATCAAATTGTGACAAGGGGGATTATTATACATTAGACTGACTACAAAAACTCTGATTGTTCAAGAACATTCAGTCAATGCACAATAGCATGTGATGTTGACAAGATCACCCAATGTCTGAAGCAGATTTTGGGTCAAGTTTGCTTACTTTCCAAGCCCATTTAGTGTTCTTAAACTTTTGCAAACTCAGAGAGAAGTGTCTTCTTTTGCTGATTGTTTAAAAAATCTATAATTACACAATTTTTAATTCAGCTTTTACATGATATCATGAATTATCAAACCTTGTATCTGTGTTATCAGCCTGACTGCCTTCAGCTTTGGCAGATAACTCAGACCTGACCACTAATAATTCTGGATACAATGTGCAACCTTATCCAATAATTGTTTATTATAAGGATTATGCTCACCAAGTGGGATGGGGAAGTAGTAATGGTATCAGTAATATCAGCTTTTAGGACTAGTCCCCCGAGTTTTATTTCTTTCTAAGTTCTCAAAGAGTTGGACTTTTTTATAGCTGTGGGTCTGTCTTATTGAAACTAAAGCAGATTTAAGAGATTTCTTGTTTTGATCCATAAAAGATTGTGTAATATCATTGACAATTAAAAATAATGAATTATGGAAGCAGCTTACAGTCATGTTTAAATATTAGAGAGATGATTTCAAAAGGGAATGTCGCACCTCTAATGCTGCAATATTTTCATATCATTGATAGAACCCTGAGTAAAACCTGAGTAAAATGATGGAAATTATAAAGAATATTACGGCCATTGTTGTTTATTTTCTGTCTGACATTTTAACAAGGTCTTGACATCTTGTGAGTCATGCATTCCACTTATTACTCCCCCTTTTTGTCCACATTCTGGAAATTTCCCCAGCTTAATTACCTATTATTTTGATGAGTGACACATGCTGAGCCTCACAATCCTTGGGCCTTCCCTCTGTTTATAGTATCAAGCAGTTCAATCAAGTATCAGCAAGTGTGTATAAATTATTAGAATGACCTTGATTACATGTGTTTGCTTGTTCAATACATTCAAATTGAAAGTTTAAAAAAAAACAAAACAATAACAAAGCTAATTGTCACTTTACAACAGTATAGCTTGCTAAATTTGCAGATAGCACTCAAAGGTCATACCCAAGTAAATTTATTTTTCAAAATTTGAATCTTTCTTTCCTTTTTTCTTTCAGCTTGAAAGGAGTCAGTTTGAGCAAACAGTCAACCACATCAATGAAATATTTGATGAAGCTGAGGAAGTTGGTCCCAGAACCTACCTAGAAGGGTGTTTGGGTTGTGTTACCGCTTATCTTATATTCATGTGTATACAGACTCAATACAATAAGGTGAGGTTTAGTGAAACTGGTGGTATATTGCAGTTTTGGAGTCAAAGGATAGGATGTCTGTGAAAAGAATGTAACAGCAGCAAGTTTTCAGTACTGTCAACACACTATTTGTAATACTTGCAATACAATACTTGCACCATTTGTTTTCAACAAATTATATTAATGATTTTTCACTGCTTAATACAAGGTAATAGAAACTTACAATGTAAACATTAACCACTTTTGCAGAAGCGATGATATTTCTGGTACTAAAAATGCGAACAATGCAATATAAACAGCTCCGATAATCTTTGGGATATTTGCACTAGTTAACTTTTACAAAGCATAGTGAAATGTGCTGGTCAAGATTGAAAGAAACTAAAATTATGATTTAGTAGAAATACCTCTTTTTTTGTTCACTTATCTTATTTAAAGTGCCCCTGAGATCAAAATTTTCGTACATCATTTTTTTCCATTTTCTTGTTCAGTGTGTCTCCTTCACCTTCTCTGCCAAATTTCAGTTTAGACCGAGCACCAGAAATATCTTTTTTCGGGCTGTTAAATTCATGATTTCGTGTCCGCCATTATTTGATCCTGTTGCGGAAGTTGATCGCAAGACTCAGAGGAAGTGACGTCAAAGGCTCAATGCGAAAATCTCACATGGCAAAATGTCAAGCAAACATAACAGAGTGCTTTATTTTATTCTTACAAAAACTAAACAAAAATGACTGGGCATTGATGCATAATTCAAAGCTGAAGTAATCGTGCAGACCATGCTGCAGGTATTTCTCTCCATCAGAGCCTTGCAAATAGATCAGGGCGGGAAAAACGGATGCGATTTGTG